ATGATTTGTAACTTATTATTCTCAACGCGTAAAATTTTTCTTGTTTTAATTACAAGATGGTATCATAGCCCACGCCTGCGCGTGCACATAGAATGTTCAAGTCTCCTCATTTCGTTTCGGGGTCGCATCGCGGGAACACGTCAAGGTGTAACAAGCATGCGTCTTTCTCTCCCCCTTCTCCCTCCCAACCATCGCACCCCCTTCGGTATCCTCTTTTTACATCATCGTTCCGCTTCATAAAGGAATCATTACTGGCGGACAATTAACCCTCTGTATAATTAGCTGATAAATTTCGCGTTAATTGCTGGCCATTATGGCCGTTCAAGATTAATCGTCCGAGATGACTTGATATTTAAATTAAAAGCAATCTCCCGCCGTTCGTGCACGCCGCCCGATTCTGCGGTGCCCTCTCTCTGTCTCTGTCTTTCTCCCGTGTTCGAATTTTTTCTGCGGATCCATCCGTTTCGAAACATGAAAAATTTTACTTCGCGCTGTGGGGACTCGAGGTGCGACGAACGTTACAGTCGGAGTATAATATTAATGTCTTTTAACCCTTTGCGGTTCCAAGTTCCAGCTGTGTCACTCAATTTTTAATTCGAGTGCATGCGTTTTATCGGTTTCCATTGCAATTATGAGTCATACTAGTGATTCAGAATAATAGTGTAATTTCTATTTCTGAGTTCATGGAAAAAAAAGCTTTTATGGAATTTTTTTAGATTAATTAAATACTAATATTAATAATTAATGATAGTTAATCTAGTTAAGAGTTAATTTTATTATTGATAACATTTTAAAACTAACATTTAATTAAAGGAAGAACATTTCACAAAAAATGTTTTCCATGAACTCAGAAATAGAAATTAAACGACTATTATTCTGAACCACTCATATCATAATTAATACCGTCTTTTTTTGTCATTTTAGTGTCTCTAAACTTTTTTCAAATAAGTTAGCGAAATAAGATATTATAAGTCGTCGACGAAATAAATAACGTTAATGAAAGTTCCAGAGTGAAAAATCTGTAAACTACAGAAAGTTAACCTTGTTGAACAAGTTTCCTATTTGATTATCAACATAAAATTCTTATCATTCGATTCTTCGCGACAGAAGCTTTCCATTTATATAGACAAAATAATTAATTTGTAATAACATATATATAAAGAATAAATCACGACCTAGTATTTAGATGTAAGTTTTAATTCAGACCAGATATTTATTCAAAATTAACCGTACATAGATGTATTTAGAAGATTTAACTAAAACGTGTAGAATGCCGGAACATTGTTCCGGGAAGAATGCACGATTTCCGAAAGCAAAATAGAAATCGTTCGAATAAATCAACATGTCGTAACTAATGGCGAATGATAATGAATCGTTACAATTCTTTAGTCACAATGGATCATAAATCAACGTGCGATTGGTTGTTGTACACGTTCGGACTGTGAATCACGTGTCCGTCTATTAGTAGAAACGTATCATTAGATTTTGTAAAGCGTGTACACAACGTGACTCATGTCGAATGAATATCCGTTTGCATAGATAGTGATCTAATTATGCCTTTATTTCCATTCGAATCTGAAATAACATAGATCTGGATACTGTACATGGACATTTCGTGTATCCTAAGAACATAAATGTAATGATTATCAAAATATGAACTCGAGAAGAGTTTCAAGTACCGCCTCTAACTGTATCAACCCTAACATATTAGGATTTAATGATTAATAATAATGATACTTAATACATAACAGATAATAAATGAAAAAGTTTAATAATAATTAAACTTAATCCACTTTTAACAATTACTGCAAATTCTTACTACATATCTTTGTAGGCACATTTAATATTTATATTTATTTTTTTTAATTCCATTTTAACATGTATTACTTTAGTTATATTTTCGTTCTTTATGAATTTAATGGAATTTTTATTGTATACTGTTGTGTTTCTATATACTACTTCACATGGATGCAAATGTTCTTTTCGTCTCATTCTGTATCATTAACTTTCTTCAAATGCTTTTTGCTCGCGTTACAGTATCCACGGTATGATTATTACTAGATATTTCTCTTATGCGTTAAAAGGCTACCGTTAAATAAATTATGATTATTAAACGATTCCAGAATACTTGTCATCTCAGAAAAAAGGTTTCACATAAAAGTTGTCATGGAGTTACGCCCAATACCACGCGACGTTGGTGGTACTTCATTAGAAAGGAAAATGGCAGCTGGTTCAGTACTTCCGGCATAATCGATTTACGTGAAGTAAACGGGATAATGATATGTATTAAAGGATATTAATAATCACAAGGTATGCGAATTAAACAGTGCACAGCGAAAGCATCGTTCACAGTGTCAATTAACTGACTAGATACCTAATAATCAGCATGCGTTTGAATAAAAGAAAAGTGAAAACGGAAACATAAGAATAGTACAATTTCTCAAATTCATCTCACTTTTAATCCAACAAATTCCAATATCAATCGACCATAAAATTTATTATAAGATTGATAGCTACCTACAATTTATTTTTCATCGTACAACATTTATTTTTCTCATATTTTAATATCTTCAGACTTTAGAGAGTCACTCTCGATTCCATCGATACGACATTCTTGCAAATTATAGACCCAGTTGGTTAAATTACACTTTCTTCCTCACTTTTTCTTCCCCCGCCTCAAAATATGCATCGATTTATAAATATGAACAGACGAGAAAAATAGGATAATTAATGAGTTGCGCTTGGAAAGTTAATGGTGGTGAAACTGAATAGAGGAAGAAATAAAATTGAAATCACTTTATACAGCTTCCTAAGCTTACCTTAATAGCTACCTTACTCGCTAACAAAATTTTTAAAAATCCACTTATCAAAACGTTAAAACTGTTCAATAATATTTTTAACTTAAACCATCAAAATTCTTAATAAAAAATATAAACTTTCATTCAACTGCATTCAATATAAATTACTCTAAAAAGCAAATTCAACTTTCCTTAATGGTAAACACTTGCTACCAACGATAATATTATTAATAATAAATCATCACTTACGGTTCAAACCGACATGTTTCATTTCGTAATGTTTTTCATTATCAAAAATCGATAATCAATCACGGAATCGGATTCACCGTCGAAAACGGATTCGCGCGATGGATACGGCGCGCGCACGGATCGGCGCAGCTGCATTAGTAACTGCTAATAGACCGTGAACTCCGCGGCGGCTCTCATTGTACCGTAAATCACTCAGCCATGAATGCAGATATAATGTCTCTTTATGCAATACGATATCATATTTCATGTAATGGTACCTATCATGTACTATAATTGCGGGCTTATTTTACAGTCGACACGCGGCGGGAATACGGTCCCCGTAGTCGGCCTAACTCTCTCGAATAATTATTGCGCCTAACTCTCGATAAAGAGATCAGCGATACCTTATCCGGTGAGCTATCGGTACACACCAGCCGCGTGCCAGTAAATAGTAAAATAATTAACGCTGAGCCTGTAACCGTACGGCTAACCTGCGATCTCGTTTGAAGAAAACGATCCGCCGGATCCATAACTACGCGTGTAAGTTGGCTGATAGCCAACAGTGTAGGCTAACACTGTTCAGCAATTAGACCGCGGATTTAGAGCGTTTATGACATACGCGTCTGCCCAAAGCCAAGCGTCAAATACAGGCTAATAAATTTTTATGACATTTTTATTTTACTCGAAACCTGTTGGCGCTATAATTTCCATTTGAAGCCGCTTTCTGTATAACAATAATGATAATCACTTTATCGGTCAAATATTGAGCGAAAAGAAACATGTTTGAACAATAAATAACCTGTATCAATAAGATATAAAAAAGATAATCCTTAAACACATGTTTTAAACAATATTCTTAAATATAGATGAATTGACTACTTTTTTATCTTTTTAGAATCTTTCTGAAAAATATGCACGAGGTTAAATATATCGTGTTTTATGCTAATGAAGGTTATATTCTCAGTTTCAGTAAATTATTTTACAAAGCCACAAGTTTGCATAAAAACGAGTGAAACGCGGTTAAATAAAAAAAAAGGTAGTTTCTATTCAATTTCACTTTTAATTCAAAACAGTGAATTTGCAATAAAAATCCGTAGTTTACTTGTCACGGGGCAAAGGCACGATTCCAATTTTTTGACCGGCCTCGTCCTCGTGCAACGTCACGCCCATTTCCCGGAGCACGCTGTTCTCCACAACTCCGATCCTGGTGCAATTCCGCACAATCTCTTGATTCTCCGGATTATCCTCGCATAAATTCCGCATGGCGAGGATCGTCCATTGCATTATAACTGCGCGTTAAAGAAAGTTTAATCGTGGCGCAAAACAGGTGACATTAATTAGTTGAAATATCATTCGTGGCACAGACGCGTACAATCAGAATATATGATAAATATGTTAGAACGAGCGAGTCGCTCGGTGGTACTCACGTGGATTCCTCGCGTCTATATTGCAACAGTCCAGAAGCAGAGGAATGGCGTCCATTTCACGGAGCTGAAAACGTCCACTGTCATGAGAACTTATGCCCCAGGCCCGAGGAGGACGCTTTATATATTATATGATATTATGTCGCATAAAACTCCGTGGTGTCGCGTAAACCGAATGACAACGCGCATAAACACTGAGACCAATATTTTTTCCCCCCTCGACTTATTTTTATAGACAATGTGCCGTGAGCAACGCTTGCATTGCCGGCAGAGAACACCATTACGCCCATGAATATCAATCAATTCAATATATCCCGACTTTCATTAATATTTCTCGAATACCCCGCGTTCCGTTTCGCTGTACACTCCGAAACTGAAAATGGGTACACGAGAGTCTCGTGGAACTGTGCTTACGGTGTGCAAGCTTCGAAATATTTGTATGTTAAACACGCGTATACGCGTAAATCGCACGAATAAAAGTACACGCGGGTATGGAATGCCCGCGAGCAAATGGTTACGAAACACGCATAGCACACAATTGGAGGTGTCATCCCCGTGTTTCCAAGCGATCAGTATTCATAGGAGGTTCAAAGATGCCAAGCACTCGGCCGCAGTAGTCTCCGGGGCCTAAATTGCGACAGCGATTTTTCGAGAGACGTCGATGATTTTTGCCCATAAATTATTCAATATAGTTCCCTTCTGCAAGGAGATAAACCGAGCGTCACGATTGTAAACATTTTGGAAGTGTCTTCGACGCTGTTTCAAGATGGCGGAAGGAACATCGGCGTAACCAACTTCTCTGCTGTAAAAACAGTCATACGTGGTTGATCACGTCTCTCTCTTAATTCGGTTGCATTACGTTCTCCAAATTGAAAAGAAATACGGAGGAGGAATAATTCAATACATTTCCGACCGGCGCCATCGGTGAAACGATATTTTTTACGGACTGGTCGCGAAAGAACACGCGTTTGAAATTGAAATTGGTCAAAGGAGGTAAGCAGAAATGAAAGGGGGAAAAAATGAAAAAGAAGAAAGACAGAAAGAACGTTTTACTGCGAACGCTGCGAAGGCGAGAAATCTACTCTCCGCGATGGCCGGCGATGGTTGTCATAAACGAGTCTGTACGTACAAATTTTATTATCGAGTCCGCTCCCAGCGAAACAACCCGCGGACACACCGGGATTCTGTTAACACTGTAACGTAAGAGTACCGGCGCGTAATTTTACGGCCAATCGTGTTTCGCGATCGTGCATGAAGAACGCGCGGCGCGCGTACGTGTGTTTACAGAATGAAATTTAAGAACACGATCGCCTTCGACACCTGAAAGAGGAAAAACAAGAACAAAAAGACAGGAGAAAAGAGAGGGAAAAAAGAGGGAACAGTGGGGAAAAAAGAAAAGGAAAAAAGAAGAAGAAGAAGCTTCGAGGCCTCGTATTCACGCTTCTGCGGCTGGGGAGCGGCCATGCCAATAAAATTATTCGAATGTAACGCAGAAAGCGGTCGGTACTTCGATCTCGCTAATATATTAACGCGGTATCCGATCCCGGCTAAATTGCCGCGTCTTCGAGCCGGACAGGATACTTAATTTTCCTTTGTTCGGTGGTGAACAGTGCGCGCGCGGCTGCGATCGGCTCTTTCTTTTGTGCCCCGTCTCCATCGCGGCAGAGATGAAATCAATAAGGGGCAATGGCGATCACCACGGGGCCCTGTAACGCATAAGGCGCGATAAAAACCGAGCAACGAGAACCTTATTTTCAACTGAACGTTTCCCGTCGCTCCTTTCTTCCTTTTTTTCGTTTGTGTGTCAGAGAATGATCTATGGAGCGAAACAGTCTTACATGGCCGAATGATGAATGAATAATTGTCTGTAAGACGAGACTTTAAAAAGAGAACGAGACTTAAGAGAGGTTTAAGGGTATCCTACGAGTTGTTCAATTATTGATGCGTTGTATTTCCCTGATTCACTATATTATATGTGGTAGTTACACGTGTCTCCGCTATCATTTGCAAGCGCCACTTTATGGATCATTCATATAACATATCATCGTTTGATAATATTTATTTTATCGGCGGATGGTAAGGCGATCGCCTTGTTATAGACTGAATTTAAAATGTGTATTGTTTCGTTTTTGTTTATCAATGATTTAAATAGAATTAAAATAATATCAGACTATATGAGATATTATAAACGCGCAGCCATACTATTATATAGAAACAGCATTGTGTAATTCTTTAAAATTTCAATGCTAATTAAAAAGTTTAAAATTTAAAGTATAACTTATTTTCTTTTCCTTTATAAGATAGAACGTAAGTAAAAACAGTACTCACGAGATTTTGACATTCTTTACTTCTGTATGACATATTTCCAATAATTCTTATTAATCTTGCTTTGAAACCAAAAGCAGGGTGACAATTTAAACTTTTTTCCTCTATTTTTTCCTCATTCTCTGTTTTCTTTGTGTCTGAATCTTCTTTCGATTCATTGTTTTTAGATTCTTGTATCATTTGTGCTATATCACTTAACTTTTGCATTGGAGTGAAGAAATTATTTGATTCTCTACCAATCATTTGTATAGCTTTCAAAAGATCTGTGAAAAAGGTACCATTAGTTACTTCCTAAATAATAAAATATAAATATACATTTAAATATAAACATAATTACAGGTACAATCAATAAGTAAACTTTTATAATTTTTTATGGATTGATATTCTTTTGATGAGCCAGAAGTTATAGTCCCAAGAATGTCAAGGAGAACAATGATTTCTGTAGTTTCCACATCATCTGAATATGAATTAACTGTGTTTAAAATTAAATTGCTCATTCTACAAAATCTTTCTGCTAGAAACATAATTATGTCTTCTATAAATTGATGCTCCTGTTTAGAGTTATATATTGAATCTGAGATTTCATGGTGTATTATTTCCAATAAATATAATTTGTCTTCAATATTCAGATTGTCATAGGCATTTTTGAATATATTTGATTCACATAATAACATCATTAGAGCCTCCTTTGCGCTATCAAAACCTTCTTTAATTGGCTTTAAAAGTTGTGAATATAACAGAAGTTTTTCTTGATCTGTAAAAATTTTCCTTTCAAATTCTTTCAAGGCGTTATGTATAAATATACAAGAAGCTCTAACAAGTGAAATATGATTAGAATGAGTTAGATTCCTGTTAAAATATAAAAAGTATAATTATAGATCAAAGAAATATAACAATAATATAAATTCTATATTACATATTACTTACATTATTACATCTTTTAAACTAGTATCGTATAAAAACTTAGGTATATCACATTGATCTGGAAAACTATTGCTTTTATACGCAAACGTAAATAGATTACATAAAAACTGAATACTTAGTCTAAGTATTTCTAATTCTTCATCTATTGTATTTTCACAAACTTCACAAGATTTAATAAAATTCACTGTCCATTCAATAATTCCTTCATAAGGAAAATGTGAATGAAATGGATACAAATTTGAGATTTCTATTTGTTTTAAATTTTCATTACTTGTAGCTAGTTTGACATATAATTCATGACAATAAACTCCACATTTAATATCAGTATAATTATATTCTTTATGTCTATAATCATTCAAACAGGAATTTCCCAAACATTTTAAGCATGCAACTTTTATGTTATTAGGAACAAAACAGTCTTCTGTTGTAAGAATTTCTGCTGTTTTAGCTACAATTGAAAAGGCAATTATTCCCCTGCAAATTTAACAATCTGTTGTATTTAATTAATATTATAAATTCGCCTAATTTTGATATACGTTAAACATACTCTGATTCAAGGGTTCTGAACAGTTTAGGTTTCAGAAGACTCAGCAATTTGTCCCATTTTTGTTCAGTAAAGGCAGATTCAAATTCAGGTAACAAATCAATATTTCTAGTATTCATCCTGTCGAAAGTAATTACAAATTTATGATATTATATAGTAATTTTATTTTCTATAATTACAAACATTATTATGAGTACACCACTTCATATAAATTTCAAAAGTACACATGAATGAAGCCATTTTTAAATGGTTAACCATTGAAGACAAAATAGACATGAAATACATTCACGTTATAAATTTAACACACGAACTGCTTACCACAGGCGAGGTATAGAATACACATAACAAGCTTTGTAAAAGGACCCCTTACCATTTTTGTGTCAAGTCCTGTCATATCAACTTAGGCTGGTTTTATATGGCAGCGCTATAAGTGATAGAAATTAGAGTAAAAAATATGAAACGCAGACTTTAAATACGTACAGACTGTACGTATAATATATTTTTCTGCCTGTTGTTCTGAAATACCGACACTCTCAAAAATGCCCCGATAAATTAACGGATTCTATTTGAATCGAACGGTTAACAACTGAACTATATAAGACTGCAATATGAAAAATGTGTGCTTGGGAAGTCAAGTTTTACAGTGTTGCCGACTCTAAGAATTATATCGTTGTCGAGTTTGGAGAGTAATATAAATACTACTTCCATCGTTTAAATGTAAGTACGCGTCTTATACCTAGATTTGTTGCCGCTAAATCATTTAACAAACTCGTAACAAAAATGAAGTATACAGCTAATTCGATTCTTGCTAACAAACCTAAAATCTTGTATTATCGATAACGTCGATCGCGATATCAAAATGGTACAGGAATCTTGAGACCCCCAAAGCCAAAAACAAAAATTCTCATAATTTGCAATGTTTATACGTAACTTAAGTCTGTATTTCAATAGTTTTCATTAATTCCTATCACTTGTACCGCTGCCATGCAAAACCTGTCTAAGTCGATATGATAGGGCGTGACATGAAAATGATAAGAAGGTCCTGGAACCCTCGAGAGTGTGTGACAAAATTTTACATTGCATGTATGCTATCCTATACCTTGCTGTGTTACTATATTTTAATAATTTAGTTGATAATTATAATTTGACAGATTATTTAATAGATTCATGTTACTGTTTGTACCTACTTACATCATGATCGCATATGATTAATTTCTGCAGATGAAAAATACCTTTTTGCAATGTTATATTTTTAAGGAATGTTATCTAAATAAAAGTCTCTATACAAAAGGTGCAAATGCGCGCGCAGGAGATAATCGTGCCGGAATTACAGAGCGATGTAACCTAGCTGTCCTTATGGCAGAGCCTACGTAGCATATGACACATTTCTCGTGGAACTAATTGTTTAATTGTGTTCGCTAATCGGAAGGAAATCAAAAGGCAAGAAAAATGACAGCAGACAATTTAGATATTGATAGATTAACATTAAATGGAACTGCAGATGACGAAGATATTGTTACACCCTGGGATGTTGAATCTAAGAATGAAAGCGGAATTGACTATGACAAGCTAATTAGTGAGTTCTCCAAAGATAATTTCATTATAAAACGTTCATAATTGCATTCATTTTTGCTATATTAATAAGAAAAACCTATTCGTTATCTTGATTTTATAGATTATACATTATTCATAATATTTCTGAAAGAAGTTTACGTTTAAAACTGTATATGAACATGTGATTTCATTTTGTTATGAGATTTTATTTTTGTTTTATAGAAAAGTTTGGAAGCTCAAAAATTGATGAAGAACTGTTAGGCAGATTTGAAAAGATCACTGGGAAAAAACCACATCATTTTCTTAGGAGAGGAATATTTTTTTCTCACAGAGATATGCATACTGTTTTAAATTTATATGAACAAGGGAAACCTTTTTATCTATATACTGGCAGAGGACCTAGCTCAGACTCTATGCACCTTGGACATCTTATACCATTTATGTTTTGCAAATGGTTGCAAGATGCATTTAATATACCAGTAATTATACAATTGAGTGATGACGAGAAAGCAATATGGAAAAATCTAAAAATAGAAGATGCGATTAAATTGTCTTACTCTAATGCAAAAGACATTATTGCTCTCGGATTTAATCCAGACAAGACATTCATTTTTTCTAATTTAGAACATATTGGAAATAATCCAGCATTTTACCAAAATATGATTAAAATACAAAGAGGCATTACTTTTAATCAAGTGAAAGGTATCTTTGGATTTGGAGATAGTGATCCCATCGCAAAAATTGCATTTCCACCTACTCAAGCAACTCCTGCAATTTCTAGTACATTTCCTTTTATTTTCAAGAATGCAAAAGTTCATTGTTTAATTCCATGTGCTATCGATCAAGATCCATATTTTCGAATGACAAGAGATGTTGCACCTAAAATTGGTTACCCAAAACCAGCTATGTTGCACTCTGTATTCTTTCCAGCTTTACAAGGCTCAAAAACAAAAATGTCAGCCAGTAATGATAACAGTGCAATATTCTTAACAGACACTGCAAAACAGATAAAGAACAAAGTCAATAAACATGCATTCTCAGGTGGACAGGCTACTGTTGAAGAACACAGACAATTAGGAGGCAATTGTGAAGTTGATATATCATATCAATGGTTAAGATTTTTCCTAGAGGATGATGAAAAATTAGAACAGCTGAAAAAAGTAAGTTTTATTTTAAGTAAAATTGCAATCTATATTAATCTGCTAACCAAATAATCTTATCATTGTAAGCGTTAATGCGATTACAATTAAAAATAAGTATATGTGATTTAAAGTAATTTAATTTATGTTACATATAAATTCAACTTGTGTTTATAACAATGTAGAATGTAGACAAATACAAGTGACAACTACATCTTACTCGGTTAACAGCTTAGTTATAGAATGATACATATAATTGTATAATCATTCATTTTCAGGGTTACACTAGTGGAGAAATTTTAACTGGAGAACTTAAGAAGGAACTAATTGAAGTTTTGCAATCTCTAGTAGCTGGACATCAAGCAGCTAGAAATAAACTAACAGATGACATAGTTAGGAAATATATGATTCCTAGAGATCTTGGTTTTGTAACAAATTCAAAATAACTGCATAATAGTTTTTTCCTATGTATATAAAGCACAATTTTTCAGAAACTTTTCTTTCATAAATTTATTTAAGTTTATTTATTAAAACAATACGCAAATAATTGTCCCAGCAAAAAATTTATTTTTCAAAACTTTATGATGGTAGATTAAACTGCTTTTCTAAACTACACGTTTAATACTTATATCTATATTCCTTCTTATTTAAGTGTAAATATTGTCATAAGTTAAAATTTATTTAATTCATTTTTATTTTGAACTGATATTTATTGGTTTTTAGTAAAAATATATTCTTTATTTTTCTATAAACGTATAAAAATAATAACTGCCTAAACTAGTTAGCCTTTATCTGGAAAAGTATATTGCTTGTTATTATTGATCCTATTATACTGTACTTAATTTTAAAATAGAATACAATTTTGAATAATTGTATTGAGGATGTTAAACAACGAATTTGTTTTCCAGTATTACAATATATTGTAAGGGTAATAAAGTACTTGTTATTTTATTCTTTGTTCGTATCAATTCCACGTTGCAAAATAAAAACTTAAGTTGTGATTATATTATATGCTATTTTTATTGCTGTCATGTGTATAGTCGTACAAAAATTTTAAATAAACATTTTATTAAAGCGATAATAAAAAATACTTCTTACAAGTAAGTAAGAACCCTAAATATATCCGACTCGATAAACCTAGCGCGAATTATGATTGTATAAGGAAAATAATATTTATCGAAATGTAATCGTTCGTAAAAGATTGATAATTCTTACGTACGAACGACTGTAAAAGACTTGCATTACATATACTTTATATCAAGCAATGAATATTATCAGAAAATATAATTTTCCATATGATTACAAAATATAGCATCATATTCAAATAGATCAAGAACACATTGAATCGATTTTGAATGGGTGAAATCATAAATTTGAATTCCCTAAATTTGTTGACTGTAACAATACTGATAAATGCGGTAATCAGTGACGGTGTGAATTATCATCGACAAAAATTTCGTGTTTTTGTTTATATAGTTCTTCGCGAGAGTTAATTCCAGTATCGCGCGCGAGTTAATTTTACTTCAGAATCCTATACGATTGCCCAGTCTTGAGCGGAAATCGTAGGCTTCCGATTGGCGGATCATGACGCCATGAGGCAATGCTATTAATAACCAACGCATGCGCAGAAAATCGTCTAGTGTATATCCGCCATTCATGCAAGTCGATTTCGTTGGTTCTGTGTTGAGCCTAGCAAAAGAACATGGTGATAGTGATATGAAACAAGTCTATTAGCAGTACCACGCTCTACACATGTGTACTTTCCTGAAGTAACGATGATATTTGGTCACGATCTCCCTACGTAAGTTTCGTGAACATACAGTCTTAGGTATAAACTATTTTAGTCGCAAAATTTGGCACTGCCAAATAGAGTTTCCCATTAGAATCTGATACAACCGATTTTTTTCTTCGAATCTCATTAATCTGCAACATCGACAAAGTTCTCGCTGTAATTTTACAACGAACATGATCGTATGTCGTTCAAATATTTATATTTACACGAACGTTATCTGTATACCTTTCAAACGTTCGTAGTCCCAGATTACCTTGTACGTTACGTTCGGCATTAGAGCGATGTTATGTTCCAATTGTTTTTTTCCCTCGCTCGAACCAAAATTATAATTCTGATACTAACCGATTTCTCAATAAAATCTCTTTACATGACAACGATTCGGAATAAATTAGAAGTAATGTCGTAGTGTGTACATTAAATGAGATATTATTCCACTTTGGGTTTGTATGTACATATGTATATCTATAACGTATAGCTGTGTATATATGTATATACATGTATATATGTGTAGAAAGGAACATTTTTTTATTCTTTTCTGCCCTTATAATTTCAGGTAAAACTTAAGAAAATGTTATTTGAATGATCAGTTAAAAGATGTTGGTCAAATAATATCCAAGCAAGAAAATTGTTCGAGCTGACGCAGCAAATATTTAGTAAATACTATGGGGGCACTTTTGGTTACTCCAAAAACAGATAAATACAATGAGCATGGCGAGAGCAATGGACTGCGCTATGGTGTTGCCAGCATGCAAGGTTGGAGAGCAGAAATGGAAGATGCTCATACAGCAATAACTGGCTTAAATGGTGGTCTCTCGGATTGGAGTTATTTCGCAGTGTTTGATGGCCATGCAGGTGCACTAGTATCAGCTCATAGCGCAGAACACTTATTAGAATGTATAATGCAAACAGAAGAATTTAAAGCAGAAGATGTTATCAAAGGAATTCACTCTGGCTTTCTCAGACTTGACAATGAAATGAGAGACTTACCAGAAATGAGTTCTGGTACAGACAAATCTGGTTCCACAGCTGTTTGTGCATTTATATCTCCCAGAAATATATATATCGCTAACTGTGGCGATTCTCGAGCTGTACTCTGTAGAGCAGGATGTCCATTTTTTTCAACAAGGGATCATAAACCTGTTTTACCTGCTGAAAGAGAAAGAATTCAAAATGCTGGCGGTAGTGTAATGATTCAGAGAGTTAATGGAGCTCTGGCTGTTTCTCGAGCATTGGGAGATTATGAGTACAAGAATGTAAAAGATCGAGGCCCCTGTGACCAGTTAGTGTCTCCAGAACCAGAAATATTTGTGCTAGATAGAGACAATGAACACGATGAATTTCTAGTTTTAGCGTGTGATGGTATTTGGGATGTAATGAACAACGAAGATCTATGTGATTTTATACATTCAAGGCTGCTGCTTACAGATGACTTAGAAGCAGTTACGAACCAGGTTATAGACACCTGTCTTTATAAGGTAATGATATTTAAAGCTTTACATACTTTCTATATAATAAGCTTTTTATTATTATTTTCAATGGTGTGTTGCTTTGAATATTTTTATTATCACAACAAATACCATTGTATAGAACATATTTTTAAAGAACAAAAAGATTAATATTAATATTAAGTGTATTTTATTTAACATGATGATAAATTATATATATTTAATATTTACATACTTTATATAACCTTTGTGTTACATATTTAGCATTTAAGTTATTATCACCGTAATGATAGTACAAATTATTACACTCTAAGCTTTAGATAACATCCTACTTTTATCCTTTACGTCATTAATTTTGTTTACCATGTTTTTATGTACTCACTCGTTCGTTTTTAATACAGAAACTAATATTTGATTGCATATTAAAGAAATACAATTATCGTTAATATATTCTGTATATTTAACAATGATCCAACTTGTTATACAATTTCAATTGGAAACTCATATTCCTAGGCATAGAATTATATGTTTGCAGATCTGTTTAAAAATGATTCTTTCTGTTTAGGGTAGCAAAGATAACATGAGCATAGTTTTGGTAACATTTCCTGCTGCTCCGAAGCCAAGCCTCGAAGCGCAGAAGAAGGAAGCTGAGCTGGAAAAGGTCATCGAATGGAACATGAGAGGTTCATTATCATTTCCATATTCACAACAATTATATTCTCTCTGCTGTTGCATTAACACAAGGTCACAGTATCATACACGAACTTGACATTCTGACAAACCATAAACGAATAACTGCAAATCATTCAGTAATGAAATTTTAGTACAATCAAATACAATCTTTAATAATGGCATAACTAGAGTACAAAAAAAGTAGATCTGTGTTCCTCCTAAATTAATGAACAAATATTTACACTTTTTTTTCAAAACTGTTTAAATAACTTATTCCATATACAAAATGTACAAATCTAAAGTTAACTTAGATTTAACATATAGTTAAGTAGACAAATGCTAATATACAATTGAATACACAGTATTGACATTTTTTCTGTCTATATTTTAATGTTGTTGTAACAAACGTAATTCATATAATTCAAATATTTATTGTTTGAAAAATATTCTACTAGTTGTTACTATATATGGATCAATTTAAATATACATTAAATAGTATATTTTAGTAGATATATACTTGTTAGATTTTAAACTCTGTTATAAGTGCCACATAATTTTCATATTTTATATACACCTTTTAAAAGGTATCTACATATGTGTTTCTATCGAGAAA